TAGATTTGATGTTCAAGTGTAGGAAGACCCTCATAATCTGACATTCTCCGTCAACTATGAAATCATTGGAAAAGGCTTCAGTGACTTAGAAGTGTATAAACACAGAATTTATGAGAACTTAAGAGTTTTGTGATTTCAGGTATGTCACTTACCCTCTCTGATGCTATTTCCTCGCTCAACTTATTCAACACTATCCATTAAGCACTTACATAGATCAGAATTCAATGGTGAAGAAAATTTGGAAAATGAGAGCAATACTAACTACACCTTGCATTGCTGTGGTTACCACTCAAAGAGTTCCTTTCCCAGTCTCCCTTCTGCACAAGGGTCTAAGGTGACAGAGGAAGAACTTTTGACATTACGTTTGAGAAGTATGCTAAGTGCAGAAAGGGAGACTAGAGAATTGTTATCTTCTGAAAGAAAGATGACTTTTCCAGAAAAAGTCCAAAGAGAAGAAGCACCAGTTTGGTTTTTTTTTTAATTATTTGCTTTCTCCTTTGTACTTTCCTACCTCTATTATGGTGCTTATCATATTCTAATAATCCTCTCACATGTCTTTCTTCCCAGTGAGATTCTGGATTCTAGAATTGTTCCATATTTACCAAATTCATACCGAGACGTGAGCCTAGCAGACTATAGGCATTCATAAAATATCTGTTGAATGAATGAATGAAGGTTCTTAGTTGGAAAAAGAACAAAATCACAGGAGAAAAAATATAAATTGAATCTTATTTCCTTTACTAAGATTGATAGACCATTCATTGAAGATGGAAATGGGAAGAGCTATAACTAAATACAATACTGAAGCGTCTCATGATTGTTCAAAACTTCCAGAACTCCCTTCGCAGCAGCTGTCCAGAGTCAGGACAAATTCTGGTTAGTGAGAGGGAGTGGGTGGGCCTTCTGGGAATCAGGTGGATAAAACCACATGATTTCTTCCATCTTGGGCTTTGCTGACTCAGTGATCCCAAATGAACCCTGGGGCACCCTTCCAATCATATGACTCTTTCCAGTTACCCTGACTGTACCTTAAACAAGCTCCTGTAAAAAGAAGAGTCCAAATACTTAACCCAGTACTGTCATGTGGCAAACATTCTGTTTTTCTATCAGTAGATCCTTTCTGCCAAGCACAAGCGCCGTGACTGTCAAGTAGAAGCATCTGTGACTTTGCCTCCATATGATCGGAAGAGTAGGACGAAAAATCAAACACTTTCTGAAACCAGGTTTGGGGGCTGAGATCTGAAGGGAGCGAATTTTTTATGTGGATTAGCTAAGTTCAGACTGACTGTTCAGAGTAGTCAGACAGATTCAGGTCCTGGGAACCTGCCACATTGTCAGAATGTCCTGCATTCACTCAGCCTTTCAGCACCAGGTGATATGAGCCAAACATGCCATGGGGACCACACTTAGGATACGAGTTTACCAGAAGGGCAGTCACATTTATCACTGTGCATGGAGCACTTTCTGGGTGAGTCTGACTGTACTAGACATTTTATATACATTCTCTATAATCCTAAAAATATTCCTTAAAAAAAAAGGCAGAGGTCATTATTCCCATTTTATATTCCATTTTATATCATATTCCCATTTTATAGAAAAGGGACTTCAGAGAGGTTATAGAAACTCCCCAATACTGTCTAGCTACTAAGCCAGAGACAGGATTTAAAGTCAAATGCCTGTCTCTGCCTGCCTTTCTAAAGGAGCAGAGTGGCACACAGTTGACCATTTACAAGCATCTGAAACCCCAAAGCTCTGAAAAGATAGAAAGTAGACACAGAGAATTATTGAATAAGTAGTTTGACATTTGGTTTAAATTGGTTGTACATTTTTTCCTACTGAAATGGAGAGTGTCAGATCTCAACCACCCATTTTCCATTGCTCTGTGAATTGTCAGTATTATTATAATGATAGAATCATTTCCTAAGGTAGAGTATTTTCTTTAAAATGTCTGAATTTGGCACCTTGCAGAATAATTTTCTGAACGGGAATTGTGCTTCCATTACCTAATTGCAAAAGGTTGCCAAAATTTTAAAAGGTTCTGGGAAGGGGAGGCAGTGCAAAAATTCAAGTGGCCCTCAAGGTCTCACTCTTAAAAGAAATGGAAATTTTTTGGACTGAATTGTCATCCTATTTGTTGGTGTAACTACAACAGGAAAGGGGGAATACAAGGCAACACTCTTCTCCCCAGCTTCTCCAGTAATACCTACAACTGAATTATGCTATTTACAAAGAAAATATTTCTGATTATTTTGCAAATTTTAAGATCTTTGAAAAAAATGTTGATTTACTACTTTAATGTCTCACTCTAAGGAATAAATTTATTCTTAATGTAATAAAAACTCTAAATAAAAAATATGTCAATCAAATACATTGAAAGCTCAATCAGTAAGAAGACGAATGCAAAAAATGCAAAATACAGTATTAAAAAGCTGATGGAAAGGCATGCGTGATAACACCATTCTGCTGCCATCAAAAGCAGTAAGAAAGAATAAGAATTTTTTATACCCATGGTGTGTCCAGAATATAAATATCTTTCAAATGCCACGCATTTCAGTTTTTCATTTTGGAATTGTATTTTGTATTCATAACTATGAAATAATATTAATTTAGCCATGTTCTACTGAATAAGAAATTAGTATATTATTTCCATCTTTACTAATTTTTCTTTCTCAGTTTCCTCTTGAACTTAAAAATCTGCCAAATAAAAGGGTGCCAATTCGAAGAAAAGAAACGAGAGTGACCCTTCTCTGCACTGTCTATACCATACACTATGTCACTAAACATTTTTCTCCCCTTTTCTCTATGTTGTAGAATTTTAAAGTCTTAAAAAATTCTCCTAATGGGTTTCCACATAGAGTAAAAAATTTTATTTTCAATCCAAACATGTATAATTTATCTCTGGATACTAAAAGCATATGGCTAGGTCAGGTTGATTTTTGCTTATTTAAGTCCATAATATGGCAATAAATAGAATAAGTTCTTAATAAGAGTGATAATTCTTCCACTGCGGCAATTTTCCATGATTAACAAAAATACAGATGTAATAGTCAGGTCCATGCGAGGGTGAACATGTGAGGTACTTAGCTGGGGACTTGGCAACCTTTTCAATCATACAAAGGTTTTTATTTTTGCCATTTTTGTTTTCAGTATTACAGAAAATAACTCGCTTCTAATAAATATTTTAATGCTATCTCTGTTCTTTATCAAATGCTGGAAGAGAAGTATCCCAAAGGTAGTAACTTTTGAAAATTTCAGAACCATATGCAGCCTAAAATTTCCCAGATGAGGCAAAATAAATTTAAACAATAGGCTGCATCCTCAAACAATAGTCATTGGTTATATTTTTGATTGAAGACCTGCACTCAACTTTTAATAGAATTTACCACAATATTAAATAATATTAGTGGGATGCTTTATTCAATTTAGTATTAAACTTTTTATAGTATGTGAAAATTTAAAAAAGAGAACAATGAAGTAGCTAATCATTCATTTCACTTCTTGCTAGTTTATTCTATAGATTTCAGATGGACCTAGAAATGATCATATTATGTGAAGTCAGACAGAGAAAGGCAAATGTCAAATGATATCACTTATATGTAGAATCTTTTTTTAAAAAAATTATGCAAATGGACTTATGTACAAAACAGAAATAGGCTCATGGACATAGGAAACAAACTTACAGTTATCAAAAAGGAAAAAGGAGAGAGAGGAATAAATTGGGAGCTTGGAATTAACATGTATACATTATTATATATAAAACAGAGAACCAGCAAAGACCTACTATGTACCACAGGGAACTATACTCAGACTCTTGCAATAGCCTATAAAGGAAAAGAACATGAATAAGAATATATATATATATGTGTGTGTGTGTATAACTGAATCACTTTACTATACATCTAAAATTAACACAACTTTATAAATCAACTATACTTCAATTTTTTTAAAAAATAGATTTTAGAGAGTGTAAATCCATAAAAGGGTCAATGAAGTAGGAACCAGGGGACCCTGGGGAGAGAGCTATACTACAGCCAGGAGACAGAGAAATACTTTCCCTCCGCCAGACTAATGAGAACAGTGAAGTTTCAATAAGAGGTCTCCTAAGGCCCAGAGGCAGAAATATTAAGTCTTAAAGGCAGGAGAGAGACTTTCCTGGTGGTCCAGAGGCTAAGAATCCAAGTGTTCAATGCAGGGGTCTTGAGTTAGATCCCTGGTCAGGGAACTATATCCCCCATGCCACAGCTAAGACCTGGTGCAGCCAAATAAATAAAGAAATGTTTTCTAACAAGCAGAAGAACATTGGGTGCCAGCTGACTGGGCCACATATAGGGCACTCCTACTATATAAGTGCTCAGCGTGATCACCACGGTGACCTCAGCGAAGCTCTATAACTGCCCATCTTGGAAAATCCAGAAGCCATGGAACCACCAGGCAGCAGGTGGGCAGCCACATTAGAGAAAGAAAATTTGAGTCCCACCACCCCTACTGCCTTTTTGACATTAGACAAATCACTGAAACTTTCTGTTCCCACTTCTTAATCAGCAAAACAGATTGAGGATAACTACTGAGGACTATAAGACAACGGAGGTAAAGAGCACTTTGTGAGCTATTGGGCAGCATTCAAATGTCAGCTATCCTTATCTGTTCATGTGTCTTTGTGTGGATGTGTGTTTTTGCTGTTGTTTAGTCGCGAAGTCGTGTCTGACCCTTTGTGACCCCATGAACCATAGCCGACCAGACTCCTCTCTCCAGGCAAGAATACTGGAGTGGGGGGCCATCTCTTTCTCCAGGGGATCTTCCTGGCCCAGGGATCAAATGCACGTCTCCTTCATTGGAAGGCTGATTCTCTACCCCGAGTCACCTGGGAAGCCCCCGTGGATGTGTGTACTATTTATTAAATAAGTCTAAGTTTTTCACACTTCACAGATGGAGAGGGTAGATGAGAGTGCTGCCCTTGGCGTGATGAGGTTGGTTGTGGCGAGCTGTGCCTAGGCCGGAGGATGTACACACATCACACCAGTGAGTACACACACTATGTGTTAACAGCTGCAAACCTGGCATGCTGCACCCTGGATATCACCTGATTGCTTACAACCATACTGGATACGGGCCAGAGAAAAACAGGATAGCGCTCGTACTCAGGGTTCAAACTGGAAAACAAGATTTTAGAGAGGCTGCAATGAGAAACATCACAATCATCTTATGATATCAACCAACTTAATATGGTTGTTGTAAAAATGAATAAAACCATTCAAGTGAGAGCATAACAAATGTTTATAATCTTGGGGAGTTCATGAAGAATTGTACAGCTACTGACAATAGTTCCTCATACTTTTGCAGCTTCCAAACCACTTGATGGGTTATTTTGCCCATAAATTGTCTGTAAACGAAGGTAGCATAAAGTTGGCTTATTTAAGATTCTATCAATTAGCTGTTATACCACCAACCCTTCTTCCTCAGTAAGATCATCCATCCTCATGCAAAACCCCCAAGTGCCTCCCCTACTCTTAGAGGAAAAGTGTTCCAAATAGCTATAGCACTAACTATAATTTTTGTTCTAATGCAGTAAAATCTGAAATCCATTTCTACTATCTGTGGAAATACATATAGTAGAAATAATATGTGGAAATATCCATTCTCCAAGCATATCAAATGATAGTGTATCAGTTCCTTATTCCTGCTGTGACAAATCACCACAAATTTAGTAGCATAAAACAGCACAAGTTCAGTATCCTACAGCTCTGGCAGTCAGAAGTCCAAAAGTCTATAGGTCTAAAATCAAAGTCTTAGCAGGGATATAATCCATCTGAAACTAGAGGGGAAAATCTATTTCCTTGCCTTTTTAAATCTTTCAGAGACAGCCTGCATTCCTTGGTGTATGGCCCCTTCCTCAATTTTAAATCATATCACTGCCACCTTTGCCTTCATCATCACATCTCCTTTTCTGACCCTGACACTCTCGCCTTCCTTTTTATAGATTAAAAACCCTTATGATTAGATTGTGCCCACTCAGACGATCCAAGATAATCTCGCCATCTCAAGGTCCTTAACTTAATCATATCTGGAAAATCCTTTTTGTTCTGTAAAATAATATGTTCACAGGTTCAGGGCTTAACACTTGGATATTTTGGGGGTACCCAGCATACCACAGACAGTTTACTGTGTTATCATTACTTTTTCACTGGGGGAAAAACTCGTTGGGAGCATAAAAAATGTGTTCATATATGCCCAATGAGCCTTGTATTTATTTGAGTTCTGTAATCACATCCAATTCTTCCTACCTATGTCAGTCTAACACAAGGTTTCTCACCCTTGGCCCTATTAACATTTGGGGCCAGATATTTCTCTGTTGTGGGGAGCTGTCTTGCACATTGTGGGAATTTGAGAAACATTTATGGCCTCTACCCACTAGATATTCATAGCACTGCCCCCACGGTTGTGACAACAAAGAATAACGTGTCCGCACATAGACAAATGTCCCCTGGGTAGAAACAATTTAGCCTCAGTGGAGAACCACTCATATAATAGAAAGCAGCCAAATTATTGTCATTGCCTCTTTGAAGGCAATAGTTCATAGAAGGCAAAAGATTTGGATATGTAGACCGATGGCTCATCTTAAGGGGGCAAATGTGAGTCATACATCTTAGCATTGCAGACTAAATTTACTGCCAAATGTATTTGTCCAAAAGACACAAAACTCAGAGTTGTCTTATTCATTGGTAGTAACTCATGCATCTGATGAGTCCCGTGTGGGTTATGAGGCTTTCAGGGCTTTGGATATCAGGCAGAGAGGAGTGCCTCGGAACATAGTGTCTTACAAGAGCCATGAGCTCTTCAGCAGTGGGACCCATGTCTTTCCATCTTTCACTTCATTATGAGTAGCATAATCTCTGGAGAAGGCAATGGCACCCCACTCCAGTGTTCTTGCCTGGAGAATTCCAGGGACGGGGGAGTCTGGTAGGCTGCCGTCTATGGGGTCACATAGAGTCGGACCCGACTGAAGTGACAGCAGCAGCAGCAGCATAATCTCAGCCTACATCTTTCAAACTTTCTATTGTACTATGATGGTTCTCAAACACAGGGGTGATGGTGCCTCTGAAGTGATACATGCCAGGCCCCAGAATTCACTTCTTGGCTAATCCTCCCCACATTGATTCCCAAGCTTTTGCTGTTGTTCAGTTCCCCAATCATGTCTGACTCTGCAACTCCATGGACAGCAGCACGCCAGGCTTCCCTGTCCTTCACCATTTCCCTGAGCTTGCTCAAACTCATATCAATTGAGTCAGTGCTGATATCCAACCATCTCATCCTCTGTCGTCCCCTTCTCCTCCTGCCTTCAATCCTTCCCAGCATCAGATTCTTCTCTAATGAGTCAGCTCTTTACATCAGGTGGCCAAAGTATTGGAGCTTCAGTATCAGTCCTTCTAATGAATACTCAGGATTGATTTCCTTTAGGATTGACTGGTTTGATCTCCTTGCAGTCCAAGGGACTCTGGAATCTTCTCCAACACCACAGTTCAAAAGCATCAGTTCTTTGACACTCAGTCTTCTTTATGGTCCAACTCTCCCGTCTATACATGACTCCTGGAAAAGCCATAGCTTTGACTAGACGGACCTTTGTCAGCAAAGTGATGTCTCTGCTTTTTAATACTCTGTCTAGGTTTGTCATAGCTTTTCTTCCAAGGAGCAAGCGTCTTTTAATTTCATGGCTGCAGTCACCATCTGCAGTGATTTTGGAGCCCAAGAAAATAAAGTCTGTGACTGTTTCCATTGTTTCCCCATCTATTTGCCATAAAGTGATGGGACCAGATGTCATCATCTTCGATTTTTGAATGTTGAGTTTTAAGCCAGCTTTTACACTCTCCTCTTTCACCCTCATCAAGAGGCTCTCTAGTTTCTCTTCACCATTAGAGCCGTCAGGGAAGCCCTCCTAAGTTTTAGTCACTTGTACAACTCCTTCACAGGGGCTCCCCCGGTGGCTCAGATGCCTGCAGGGACCTGCCTACAGTTTGGAACACCTGGGTTCGATCCCTGGGTGAGGAAGATTCCTTGGAGAAGGGAATGGCAACCCACGCCATTCTTGTCTGGAGAATTCCATGGACATTGGAGCCTGCAGGCATATAGTCCATGGGGTCACAAAGAATTGGACATGACTGAACAACTAACACACACACACATAACTCCTTCATGATTTCTTTTTGTTATTAATTACTCAGTATTTATATTTAAATCAGCTTATGATTTTCAAACATCAATGTTTTAACAATAATATAAGTGAAATCATGTTTCATAATGCTACTGAAATTTTTCTAAAACACACTGAATTAAATACGTACTATAAAGAGTTTCATGTTTATCCACATGCTATCTAAAAGTATCTCACTACTAGGTACATACACAAGAGCTTAAGAAATATTGTTCTGGAGGCAACCAACATCAGGAAAAGCCTGACACTTATTTCTAGATCTAAAGAGGTTTCTCCCATCTACTCAAGTTGCTCACAGATGAGGGACCATCAAAGTTCAGAAAACCAATTGCTTTCGCAATCAGAGGGAAAACCTCAGGCTTGCATTTACACACTTTCCTAAACATCTTCCTTTTCATTTTCCTTTAAAAACAGATAATAGTTAAGATAATGCCCTTAAAAATAGCAATATCAGGTAGTTCGTACTGATGTGTTTAATGTATCACATCAGTCAGATAACTACCAAAAAAGCAAACTCAAACACTGGAGAAAGTAATCTAGGCCAGGATTTCCCACAGTGTATTTCACAGAACACTAATTCTATATGATCTCAGTAGACATTACATGAGGGGAAAAAGGTAAGGGGGGGAGTTGGCAGAGATCTAGTCAAATAATTTGAGGAAATGTTGTTAAACATAATTAATTTTCTATTGTAAGACTTGTCAAAAGCTTTCATTTTCTACTGTGCTTTTAACTTAAGAGAAATAGATATTAAGCAGGCAACCTTAAATGTATTTAATGACAAATATCCTCTTTTTCCCTAAGAGCATTCCCTGGAATTAGTATTCAGAGGAACATATTTTGGGAAATGCTGATAAATCTAGATTAGAGAAAACAGTATTTTCCTGAGATGAAGAACAAACTCTAGGATAATGGATATTTTTTTAAATGTACACTCCCTTATATTTTAACAGCTACCTAGAAGAGCAGACTGTCTTCTCTGGATTAACTTTGTTCATCTGTTTTGCACCCCCAGGGACTCAAAAACATTACTGAATGCAAATGACAAATAAACATATGAGACAATGTGGAAATTATTTTACTGGCTATAGCATGGCTTATACTCATTACTTCTTTGCTTTGAGAAGTAATTAACATCTTTTTTATCTTAACTCATAAAGCGGCACAGAATGTGCGCCCTGATAATCTAAAAGCAATCATTGCTGAAGTTAATATCATCTGAAGACTGCAAATGGACAGTGGTCACAGCTCATGGAATCAGCAAACAGGATTTTTTCCTTAGCGGACTCTTACTTCCTCTACATGAGCAGTACATAAACATGCAAGGGTCATTCTAAATGGAGACTAAGGCTAAGAATTGAAAAGTGGTAAATTTTTCAAATTTGATTTTTCTAGCAACTACTGCAGACGGTTTGACATGAAATTGTGAATGTAATGAGATAGTGTGGCCAAAATATTAAATCCAGAATAACTCCTAAGAAATGTAAAGCCCCAAATGTTATCAAACAGAGTTTTAGCTTTGGAAGGGATATATGAGAGATGTAGAAAGTGGTATTGTCATCAAACTAATAATGTGATACCAGGGATTCTTCTATGGGGTGCACTACTTGATTGCCAGGTGAGCTTGGGCAAATCACTCTACCTGTTCATGACCCACTTTCTTCTTTAGAATGAGACAGTTGGGAAAAATAATCATCTAACACCTTGTAGCGGAGAAGGCAATGGCACCCCACTCCAGTACTCTTGCCTGGAAAACCCCATGGATGGAGGAGCCTGGTAGGCTGCAGTCCATGGGGTCGCTAAGAGTCGGACA